AGTTTTGCCAGGGGTGGGAGGGTGTGGGGGTCGTCACGTGATCAGGCCTGGGCGAACTTGGCCCGAGAGACCGGTCGGCAGGGTCAGGGCGGTGGAGCAGCCCCCGCTCCCAGCCCCGACTCCGGCAGCCCCTAACCCCAACTCTGGGCGAGCCAACAGTCAGTTCCTTTCGTTTTGTTTGGAAAGGCGGTGGGTCAGCGTCTTTATAATGTAAATCGGTGGCTGGCTTTCCTTAAAGCCGAAGGGAACAAAGATGATCTTACACTTTTTTAACTCTGAGAGTTAAAAATCCCTAGTAATCAGGACAAATTTAATATTCCCAACTCAGAACTGACTTTCGGTTCCTCTGTTCCATGTGATATTAAAATATTGAAGGATAGATTTTACTAGAAAACTGGTAACTTTGTAAGTTACCTAATAAAGTGACAATCAGTTTAATCTTTTGAAGTGTGTATCTTGTTATACCATTTCTCATACTGGCATCCGGTGTCTGGTCATTCCAGATATTCAAGCATTTTTATTCTAAACCACAAACCAAATGAATAAAAAATGGCCGAACTCACTGGTCTTTTTTTTTTTTTTTTAATGGCAGCAAGCATCACCCCCACCTCCAAATTATTTGAGGTGACTCTTAGTGTGGTGTAAATATGAGGGCATTAAGCTGATGATAATGTTATCGTTGAGGCGAGGGAGTGTTTAGTGGTTCTGCCTCTGCGTGCCCAAGGCGCCTTTTCCCATGCAAATGACCGGTTTTCTTACCAAGATGTGTTGCTGGACCTGATCTTGCACACTGAACTCCATCTGAACAGCTGCTGGAATCAGAAAATGGGCCATCTTAAGGAGTGCACATACTTTGTATCAGAGCAGCAGAAATTGGCGTCAAGCACAGGCCAAAATAACCTTTCGAGTTTGTACTGAAAACAAGCAGCCTAACCCAGAGTTGAAGGGAAGAAACCTGGCATCGCTGTCGCCCTTGGCCCGGGACCCCAGCCCCGTGGTCACCGAGCGGTCAAACCTGGGTCTGCGGGGAGTCAAGGGGCGAGGGCCCGGGCTTACGCAACTCTGGCCCCAAGTGCCCATTCATGGAAACACCCTTAATTTCCCCTTGGGCTTCGCAACGCGCCCCTTCCGGAGGCGCTCCGGGCTCGCGGGGCGCACTGCCGCGTTTCTGGCGTGGGTTGCCTTCGGGCACACTCAGCTCTTAAGTGTCCCCAGGGCTGGTCACGCAGGGCTCGGCCTTCCCACCGAGAGGCGCTGCGTTTTGCCCGCTGTCGCCGGGGTGGCAGCGCGGGGGACGCGCGCCAGCTCCCTCCGGAAGGTCTCTGCGGGCTTGGCGGGTGCAACAGGATCTGAGCGCCTGGGACGCGCCAGGCCGGGGGCGGGGCTCGCGCTAACCTTTCCCCTACTTTTCTCAGCCGTCACGTGACGTTCGGGGGAGGGGCGGGGCGCGCCGACCGCTGTTGCTGGCGGGGCGGGCGACGATGTGTTCGCTGCGAGCAACTAGGGACGCAGCCTGCGGTCTACAGCCGCGGGGAGGTGGGAGGCGGAAACGCGTGCCCGCTCGGCCCCGGGCCGGTTCTGCACTTTGATACGAGTGCATTTTTCCCTTTGTTGGAAAAAATGTTTAGTCACTCTGCATGGTTATCATTGGCAGAGCAGAGCTCTGTTGCCGGTGGAAGCCTGCACTTTGAATTCCGGAAAAATTGCTGCTTTTAAGAATAGAATTGTTGTTCAAGCTGGTCTGTTTCCAGTGTTTCCGAGATTCTGTCTCGGACTTTAAGCAGGCTTCTACTTCCTTCGAATGGCTCGAGCCCCTCTTGAGTTTTTCCTGCGAGGACTTTTCTTTTTTTTAAAGATAAATAATAGGGGGAGGATATAGCTCAAGTGTTAGAGCGCGTGCTTAGTATACACAAGGTCCCAGGTTCAGTCCCCAGTACCTCCTCTAAAAATAAGTTAAACCTAATTACCCCCCCAAAAGAAGAAAATTTTAAAAGAGGTAATATAAGCACAAGATGAAGGGGTGCGAGTGGAATTTCAGTGCAGGCAGCGCCCCTCTCCAGAAGGCACCGCTGTTAAGTTTCTTTGACGACTATAGCGATAGTCCCGGCTGCATGGGGCATTTTTAAAAAATCTACTTAACATAAGGAGGAATATTTTCTGTTTGTTGATTTCTGATATCTTGTTGCCTTTTGTGAACTTCCCCTTTTACCCCAAACAAATATTAGGTGGACATTGGGTTCCCAGCAGGCCTTGGGCTGAGGCCAGCTTGACCTTCTTGGGTAAGTTAACTGGGAGCCGCAGTTCTGAGGAGTGTCCTTAATGGTTTTTTTCGTGGGTGGGTGTTTTTTATGTCCAGGAATGTTCTGGGAAGTTAATAATTGAAAGAAATAGATTGTGCTGGGTGAGGTGACCTCTCAGGGTATAGGGTAGGGTATTGGCCACCATGGAGGGCTGGAAAGTTGGGTAGCTAGCTACTGCTCAGCTTCTGAAGGATTATTGGCTGATTGTTGGGCACCGAGTTCTTGAGGTAAAAAGGAAAGGACTCTAACATACCTTACATGTGGTGGTTCACCTACCCACCCCAGGAACCGGAGGGCATCTTGGAGCCTTCCCAGCTGTCCCCTGAGCCCCAGAGCTGCTTCTGCTTCCTGAGAGGCGCTTGAACTCGCCTTCCTCCCCGTTTCCATGACCCATAGCAGGCATTCAGATGTATGTTGAACAAGCGACAGAATGGTTGAGCCCCTTTCTCCCCTGGATTGCAGTGTGGCAAGGGGCCTTTGGGGCAGGGGACATTGGTGTGAGGGAAGCAAGGGCAGGTGCAGCTGTTGGGTCCCCCCTCGGTGGACCTTGCTTCACCTTGTTACTGTGGTCCGGAACTCCTGCGCTGGAGACCAGCAGCTCCTTCCTTCCACATGTGAAGGGGTCAGCACCCCCACCTTCCCCCCAGAATACTGGCTCCGGGTACCTTACACACACACAGCATTCAGCACGTTGTGTTATGTTGTGTTATGATGCCCTGGCAGGGAGGAAGCTCCTTGAGGCCGGGGACACTGAGTTTCTAAGGAATTGAGCTAGGGGTTAATCCCCTTTCTTTAGAAACACCCCCCCATTAAAAAAGTAATACATGTTTGTATTAAAAGCAGACACAAAACAACCTTGCCTTTAAGAAATTGTCATATGCTGTAACTCAAGCTTTACTTTTTATAAAATAATTCGTCATTGATGAAATTATGCATTTATCACTGATTTCCCATGTCAGCTCCTCTGAGCCTTAAAAAGATTAAATACATGGAGTTTTGGGTTCTTTTTACTTTTGCAAGCACACACTGCTGTGCAGAGTGAGGTATAGCAAGGGGTGCAGAAAGTAAATCGGGAATGTTGCTGAAAAATGTCAAAGATGTTTGGACAGGGTATCAAACACTGGCTGGGGGCAGTGGAAAGAGGAAGGGAGTTTACATGGAAATGCACATTCTTGGGGGACTGCTGGGAAGGTGCAAAGAGTGTGTTCCTGCAGTGGAGACCTAGTGTGGTATCAGGCCCATCTCTTGCTCTCCTTGGGTTCATGTGAGGGAAGGGTAATATGCATACTTATATGCCAGGAAACAGATCTTGTGAATGGCGATGACATTTGCTCCAGGCCACACACACACACACACCCCTCCCTTTCTGAGTAAGTGGCAGAGCTGGAATTTTAACCTGAATTTGTGTTCTCTAAAGCGTGTACTCCTTCCCTTTAACCAGCTGCTCCCCAGACCACTGTGCAGGCAGAGGCCCGGTGTTGGCACTACCCCCACCCCGGGGCCCACTGGACATGACACTGGATCAGCCGTGCGTGTTTCTGGGTTTCCATTCCTCATCAGTAAAGTGGTGCCTCTGACACCTGTCCTTTGTCTTACAGGGGTTTTATGAGTATCCAGTAAGGAGCCAGATGTGAGAGTACCTTCGAGGGTGTGAAATGAATAGAGCTTCCGGCAAACAATATCATGGCTGCAGGCAGGATTTACAGGAACGGCTGCGTTCTGCAGTCCCCCAGATGGGAACATGTGGTTTAAGTTCAGTTGCATTTCTGGGTGCAAGCACCTGCATGGGGAATAGGGGCACCACTCCCCCAGTTCTAGGGACAGTTGTGGGAACCACACTCTGGTGGGGGCTAGAGGTCTGGGGACTGCTCTTGGGCGGATGTCTGCCTTTCCCAACTGTCTTTGCTCAGGACGTCGGCCAGGTCGGAGGGGGTCCTTCTGGGTGGGCATCCAGAGAAAACGCTTGAATAGATAGTGCAGATAATTAGGGCCTGCAAGACATGCTGTGTTCTATTTATTAAAAAGTGATCCTCGATGCCCTTTCCCCAGTTCTTTTATTTCTCTGTATTTCTCTGTATGTACCTGATTAACTATTACTTGTTAATATGACACACTATAAGCCTTAAGTTAAAATTTTTACTTGATTTTGACAGTGCCTCGGTCGGCAGGAGCTGTGCTGCTTTTTGAGAGCTGTAGAGAAAAGGATGATGAGTCAGAATTCCCCTATAACCCGCCTTGACCCAGCATCTTGCCCCTGTGAACGGCTTACTAGGATATACTCCACTGCAAGGAATTAACCGCATGGCCAGTTTAAATATCGCAAACATTAAATGTTCAGTTTTGAATTAGAGATATAGTGGGGAGGTATAGCTCAGGGGTAGAGTGTGTGTCTATCATGCACAAAGTCCTAGGTTCAATCCCCAGTATCTCTATTAAAAATAAACAAGTAAAAACCTAATTACCTCCTCCCCACCAAAAAAAATAAATAAAAATTAAAAAAAATAAGGAAATTAAAAAAAAAAAGATACAGCCCTTCACAAATGAAAGCTGCTGCCCCTTTCTGGTACATGAAGCCTCTCCCCAAAACGTACAGTGAGTTTTGAGTCTCATATCCTTGCTTCTAAGGTGATGCCATCAGATTAGGGAGAGAGCAGTTTGCATTTGTTGTGTACACAGTTGGTGAAAAATTGAGCAAGATTACAGAGAATTAGGGTTGTGCAGAGAATCAGGGCTGTAGGCGAATAAAGATGTGGCTCGTGGGCGCACAGGGGACGGGCGCCCCCAGCCCCGTGGAAAGGAGGGCTTTCATTTTTCTTCCCATTACTGCTCATTTCTGCCCACACCCAACCCCTCAACTTCATCATCCATGTAATAGCAGGAATACTAAATACGAAGGAGCAGAAAGGAACCTGAGAAGAGACGTGAACCCCTGGGCTGGTGAATCCCTTGCAGGACCCTCCTGGCGCTTTCCTTGAAGTGCTTTGGGTAGCAGTGCTGAGGCTGGCTTGGTATCACCTTGATCGTCAAGCATGGCAGGAACGTGGTTTCCCCAAGTTGGAGCCAGTCCTAGGGGGCAGAACCAGCTTTGTTTAGCCAAGCAGAATGCCTCCCAGGTGTTGGCCACCGGACGTTGAAGAGTATGTTGTGGATGATAAATGCTCTGCCCTCCACCAAAGATGTTAAAGAGTCTCTGCCTGCAGTGTCTTCTCTCAAGAGTTTTTCCAGGGGTGGTGGCCCAGGTGTCATCCAGCCTCACCCTTTTTCCCTGACGAGGGAGGCAGGCTGTGCTCCTGGAGGCCCTGGCTGGTATTCCTGCTTCTCTAAGCTGTCACTTCCTGTGGGTAACCTTTTCTCAGGATTCCCAGCACAGTTGTTTCCCACTGGATGAGATGGGCTGCTGTCTGTCAGCTGGATTTTAATAGAAGGCAGGGCCTGCGGGTCTATGAATTGTGCGATTCTAGCGGGAAGACCGGAGCATGTAAAGAATTTTCGAGTTGGCACCCATCGTGTTTGTAGTTACTGTTGTTTTATTGCTGGTTGCGATCACATCACTTTGGTTACGACAGAGTGACCTAATTTTATATCTGTGTTGTAACTTTAAGAATCTTAAATTGAACTTTCACGGAGTACTTAGCACTTGACTTGATAGGTAAGAACATGAGTTTTGGAGTTGGACCTGAGTCTGATTCCCAGCTCTGCTGTTTGCTAGCTGTGACATTGGGTAAGTTTCTTGACATCCAAGCCTTGGTCTTCTCATTAATAAATGGGGATAGTGCTAGTACCCATTTCCTGGGGTTCTAGTGGGAATTAAATGGGTTAATGTTGGGGGAGGGTATAGCTTAAGTGGTAGAGTTCATGCTTAGCATGCACGAAGTCCTGGGTTCAATCCCCAGTACTGCCATTAAAATAAACAAACCTAATTACCTCCCCCCAACCAAAATAAAATAGTTAAATAAGATAATAATAAATAAATTAAATATTTTAAAAAGTCAGCCATAAATTTTAAAGAAAATGGATTAATGCAGGTAAAACGTAGGTCACATTGTCGGGTATATGCCAAAGAGTTTGGTAGAAGGAAGATTTTGTTTGTTTGTTTGATCTTTATTGTTAATTGCACAAGAATTCATCTGTATGCTCTGCCTACCTACAGCCTATCCCCTCCTTGTTTGGGGAGTTCAAGACTATGTCAAAAGACTTCTAACAACATGTAATTTACTTACATATTTCCATTGTGTTCTTGGAAGTCCACTGTAACATGGCAAGCTTTATTGTTGGTTTTGACTGATAGAGGTGATTTCCACATCTCTGTTTTCCCCGGGCCGTTTTGAGGTCTGGCCCCATACTTTGCATTGGATGACCTTTCACCTCCTTTCCTTCTGCCGGTCACAGAACCTAGGCTGAAGGCGGGCAGGGCTCTGGAGGGACACATTGTGTCTTAAGGATGGCTTTTTGATCACGCGATCAGTCATGTGATTTGCAGGCCGCTACCCTCTGAGGTGAAATGTTTTTGTTAACAGGAATCGATTGTGAAGAAAGAGAGCAAAAGCGAGCAGATTTGAAAAACGAAGTACAGACCAACTGATTGGCCAAAAATTTGGGGAGTAGCATTGGGAGAATTAAGGTTATCTTAGCAAAACTGAATGAGATGTTGCAACGTTTCCCGTCAAATTGTCCGTTTGCAGTTCTGTGTTCCAGAACTATCTATGGACCTCGTGGTTTGTTCGGAGAATGCAACAAGGATTCGTGTCCCGGGGAAGTTTACAGTTTATGTCGGAAGGTTAAATGGATCATTTACAAGTGAAAGTCGTGTGCCAGCAAGCGCAGGTGAAATTGCTAGGTGTGACTGACAGAACTCCTGTGCTTCTGGAATGTAGATTCCAAGGCGGGCGCCTGGAGAGGGCAGCCCTGAGCCAGATGTGAGGCAGGACAAGGGAAATGGACACAGGGCAGAAGGCATCCTAGCTGTGAGTCAGACTTGGAAGGGCCTGGCTGAGTGGAGGTGACCAGGGGACAGCCTGGCAAGGCCTGGGGAAGAGCCACGTGATGGACCAGCTATATGGATTTACGAAATTGCAGTAAAATAGATGAACAACAGGGAACTATATTCAGTAGCTTTAATAACCCGTACTGACAAGGAATACGATAGTGACTATATACGTATAACTGAATCACTGTGCACCAGAAACTAACACAACATTGTAAGTCAGCTCTACTACAGTTTTTTAAAAACTGCGGTAAATAGGTCATCATTCTCAACCAGAGCGCCTTGTTCTGGATCTTGGTGTTTTTCCTGGAGCAGATTAGCGTAAGGTGCTTAAGTGCTCTGGCACAGACCTTGGTGGCAGTCTCGCTCCTTTAGTGGCCCTCCTGCTTTCTAAAGCGGCACCATCACATGGTTCCTGTGGTCAGCCCCAGGGGGAGGGGGAGGGTTGGCGGGTGAGGGGCAGGGTTGGGAGGAGCAGCGACCAGGTGTGTCCCAGGCCTGGAGGTTTGTGCAGGCTTATCGCTTGGCTGCTCTCCACCTGATGCAGCCAGAAGTGATTTCTGTCCTTCTAGAGGAAGGAACCACACAGCATGCCAGACACACAGACAAAGAATGCTTTTGTCTTCAGTGTGTGGGATACATTTCTGGGAATCTCCTTGCAGCTGGGGGGTTTGCTGTCACAAGCAGCCGCCCCCCAGTGTCCCCCTGAGCTGGTCTGGGGGCGCAAGGCAAGAGGTGGCCTTACATCAAGAACAGCCCCCAAGGGGCCTTCTCCCGTCACCCAGCCAGACCTTCTAGAAGGTGCTTCCGCCCTCAGTCTGCCCCTCCAGTTCAGAATTCTTGTCAGAAGTTCTCCCTCCGGTAGTTGCTCAGTGATGATTTGCAGAAACAATTGAATGACAGAAGGGGAGACAGTTCACATGCTTTCTCCTTTGGCCCCCCAGGAACTTGGGGCACAGGTGTTCATTCTGCCATGTGGGTGGGTCCCCCTGGTTGTGCTGCGTAAACCTGATCCCCCGGGCAGCTCCCCTCTCTCCACCCAGGTGGGGATGGTCCTGGTGAGCAGGCAGCATGCCTTTGAAAACCAGCAGGTTCTGGTGCCTGCGTCCAGCGCGGGGCGAGGAATGGGGTAAGGACCGTTCTAGCCCGTTCCAGCCCGGGCACAGCAGATGATGGAGGTATTGCAAGGAGAGGTGGCCGGGAGGGTGTGGGAAAGATGCAAGGTTAATTTCCGGTTGTCTTGTTTCGGCATGAGTGAAGACAAGCTTGAAATGTCGAGTTGTGTGCGCAGGTACAGGCAGAGCCCCATGGGTGGTGACACCTGGGGTGCAGGGGGGCTGGAAGAGGAACGGTGACCCCCCAGCTCAGAGCCCAGAGGGGCGAGTGGCAGCAGCGGATGAACTGGTAAGACAGTCTAATGCAACTCCAGACTTGATAAAAGGTAAAAGTCCATTGGTAAGTATGTCAGTATTGCCGAGACACAGCACAACCATGACAAATGTCGTAGGACACCTGAAAGCATTTAATGGTAATTCTCCAATGCCGTGAGGTCACAGTTGTTTGAAGGGGGCCTTAGTGTGAATGGAACACAGGGTGAACACATCAGGGAGGAGGGAGTGATGCACCCACCCACCTGACTCTCGTATTTGAGGAGAGAAGGTTTAGGTGTGTGAGGGAGAAATAGGCAAACACTTGGATTTCTCAGGGCGGTGGTGGTGTCGTGACAACTTTATTGGGAGGTCGTCCACATCCCACGTAGTCCACCCAGCCGACGTGTACGTGTCAGTGGTTTTTAGCAGATTCAGAGCATGTGCAGACGTCACCCCCAGTTTTGGAACATTTCTTCCCCACAAAAAGAAACCCTCCTCCCAGCCTCCCTTGCCCCCGGTCCTGGGCAGCCGCGATGCTGCTTTGTCTCTGGATTTGCAGGTTCTGGACTTTCTGTGTAGGTAGACTCCTGCCTGGCTTCTTTCACTCAGCATCATGTTTTCAGGGTCCACCTGTGTGGTGGCTGATGTTGTTGTTTCATCCCTTTGTGTTGCCAAGTCACGTTGCGTTGGATGGTAGAGCATGTTTCATGTACTTGTTCATCCATGGAGGGACGTTGGGTTGTTCCGACTTTTGGGTTGTTACAATTAATGCTGCTGTGAACACCGGGTGCAAGTTTTTGTGTGGACATACGTTTCCAATTCTCTTGGGCACTTGCCCAGGAGTGGAGTTGTGGGGTCATGTGGTAACTTGGTGTTTAACTGTCTGAGGAGCTGCCAGACTATTTCCAAAGGGGCTGCGCCATCTGCCATCTCCACCAGAGGTGCGCGTGGATTCCGAGTTGTCCACAGCCTCGCCAGCACCGTTATCACACGTCGACTTCATGGTCATCCTGGTGGGTGTGAAGTGGTATTTTGCTGCAGCTTTGTTTTGCATTTTCCTGTTGGCCACAGTCCAGGGACGTCGGGGGGGGGGGTATATGACAATGATAAATGTTTCTAGGTGCGACGCTGTAGACTCCAGGGTGGAATTTTTGGTAGTTAGATTTGTGAAGGGAGCTTCTCAAACCCTTGCCGTCCATCTGGTTCATTCATTTTGTGCTCGTGGCTCAAGTCAGGAGAGACCGACTCAGGATAGCCATCTTGGCTTCTGCAAAACTCGAGAAACAAATTATTCATTTTGGGATGGGGGTTGCATTCGGTTTTTAGTCTGAGCCAGTCGAAACAAGCAAATCCTCAGTGAAATTCAGAGAGGTCTGATAAGGCCATTGACTAGACAAGGAGACTGCAAACATCCTGAGTCCCTCTGCCCTCGCCCAGCAGAGGTCAGATTCCTGGGCACACATCACATCACCTTTGCAGAGAATTGGCTACAAACACTGTGTTTAACCTCCTGCCTTTTCTGCCTTCCTGTCTGTGTAAAAATATGATAAATTGTTGAAAGGTAGCCAAACGCATAATTTTATTTGCTGTGACAGGCCGTGCAGAATCCTTATCTCTGTAGGCTGGCCTCGTGTTCACCCCAGGCTTTGATGGGAGGAGAGATTAAGAGTCAGCCTCCAGGCTCTGGGGGAATCTTAGAGCCACCTGGGCAGCTTTTCAAGAAGTGGATTCAAGCTGTTGGTTTGACAGTTTAGGAGGAGGTGGTCCCCCGAGGAAGAGGTGGAGGAAGACAGAAGGTGCCCAGCAGGGCCAGGGAATGAAGTGGGCTTTCCTTTGCCGGGCGGGAAGGCCGCAGGGGGCCGAGCTGGCACCGGGTGAGCAAGGTACAGCCCCTTGCGCTGTTGACGCCACTTTGATTTCACCAGCCTCCAAGGAGGAAGGCCCACCTGATCCTGAGAGTTGCGAGTGTCCGGTTTTCGTGGACTCTTGGGTGCAGCCTCAAGTGGTTTCCCAGGGCAGCAACCACACTTCCACAGGGGCCAGGGCACTTGGAGTCGGTCCCGAGCTCCCACCGGAAGATTCCGGCTCAGGGCTGTCAGGACTGTGTGTGGACTTTCTGTGTCAGCCTCCCAGCTGCCGGGGATGGGATTTGCCTCTGCTGAGCATGTTGCTAAACCACCACCAGCTTCCTGTGTCAGCCGGTGTGCCCGGGCTGGACCTGCAGGCGAGGTGGGATGGCCAAGGCCAGGGCTGAGGGGTCCCACTCCTGGACTCTGCTGATCCCCCAGGGCCTCCAAGCAGGTGCTGGACGGGCGGGGCAGGGTCGATGTGTGGTCAAGGAGTTGGATCTGTTGATGAAAAACACTGAATCTGTCCAACACGGACGAAACCCTTAAATTTGGAATGGATGACACTTCTGTGCAAGTAGGGGTTTTCTAACGTCCGGTGAACTCCCCCCGTGTCATGTTCTCCTCTGGTCTTTCCAGGAGATCGCTGACCATGGCAGAGGCTCACCAAGCCGTGGCCTTCCAATTCACGGTCACTCCTGATGGGATCGACCTCCGGCTGAGCCACGAGGCCCTCAAGCAGATCTGTCTGTCCGGACTTCACTCCTGGAAGAAGAAGTTCATCAGATTCAAGGTTTTCAGACACTTGCTTCAATCCGTTCAGTATTCCTTTTACCACCTGAGAACTCCAGGTGCTACTGGAGTAGGCGTGTTTTAGAGTGGTTGCTGGCACAGCACATGTGTTTGTATGTTTCCGTGGTGCTTAAGGCTTATGAAACACTTTCACAGATTGGCTCACTGGGTTCTTGGAGAAATTCCGTAAGGCAAGTAGGGAGTCGGGACCCTGAGTGCAGGCCGGGAAATCGGGGCTCCCAGAGGGTAAGTGACCTGCTTGGGAGAAGCGGAGTAAAGGCTGATATCTATGTCTCTGGCTCTGAGTCCAGAAGCCTCTACGCTTTGTAGAAAAAGGCTTGTTTTCCAGCTGTGCAAAACAGTAGTGAGTTTCTTTAACAGATAACTGGCCAAAAAAATAGTCCAGCGTTGGAAAAGATGCATGTACATTCAAACACAGTTAATGACATGGGTTCTCAGTTCTGTTCACCTGAAAGAGTGGACATTTAGTCACCATTTTAAAGCACGTGTCTTGTTTTTAATTCATTTTAATTTATTTTTAAAAAATCACAGAAGGAACAAGTAAATGCATCTTTTAAAAAAAATTCAAGCAAGATGAAAGCCCCTGACTCAAAAGTCCGCCGGGGGAACTCCTACGGTTTGTGTGTTTGTTCTCCGGTTTTCCTTTCAGAGGGAAGGGTGAGGAGGGCTGGGAAGGAAGGCCCAGGAGGTAGAGTAGGGGAGAACGGTGGCCAGCGAGAAGGTGGGCGGGCCCCTGGGGCCTGGCCTGGCTGGACAGGTGTCCCCGGGCTCGGCGGAGGGTTCCGGGGCCCACCTATGTGGCCAGGCCACACTGGGCCCTTACATGACCCACTGGAAGATGAGGAGGGCGCCCCCTACCGTGGAAAGTGCCGTTTGCACACCTGGCCTTGCTGAGCCTCCTTTTTACCTTCATGTGAAGGAGAGCAGATGCTGGGGTGCACAGATGTGGCCCTCATCTCAGCCCCTCCGAAACGTTGTTCTGTGACTTTAAAGGCTTTGTTGAGGGGAGGGTATAGCTCAGTGGTACAGTGCATGCTTGGCATGCACGAGGTCCCAAGTTCGATCCCCAGTCCCTCCATTAAAAATAAATAAATAATCCTAATTACCTCCCGCTCCCCCCAAAATAAAGGCTTTGTAATACTGCTGAGGAGGCAAGATAGATAGATACAAAAATAGACAATGAACAGCGAGGGCCCCGCTTAACCACATGGCTCCTTGGAGGACCATCTGATGCCCGGGGTGGGGTGGGGCAGGGCTGGCAGAGCGGGTGCAGGGTGGGGGTGGTGTGGTGAGCAGAGACACTGTATCTAGAACCTTCCTCTCTCCATTTTAACTTAACCTAATGTATGTATGTATTTATTTATTTTACAAGAACACTTTTTACTTCAGAGAACACTAGAAGCCCCCCTATCCCTCCACCATGTTTGAAATCTTTTTCTCACACCTCTTGACCATGGGAATAGCACGTAGGAATGCAAGTATCTTCTGAGGGAATTCGGATAAAGCGTTGAGAGTTTTCAAATCCATTGTCTTGGTCAGATCAGTCCCTTATTAAGATGGCTTTAGTAAGAATTGTTTCTTAATTGGAAGCTCTGAAGCATACACAGAAGTAAAGAAAATAATGAACAGAGCTGCTTTCCTGCTAGTTTCCACAACTGTCGACATTTTGCCAATTTTGTGTCATATTTCCTCCCACTCCCACCCACACCCCGATAGTTCTTGGTTTTTTGTTTTATTTTTTTGAAGAGGGGTTGGGAAGATTTGGCTGAAGCATCTTATGGAAAATCCTCGACATGGAGTGAAGTCTCCTGTAAATACCTCGGAGTCCAGCAGTGTCTGATTCAGGAGCAGCAGGAGCGGTGGTTTTGGAGTAGGGGTCTTGGGGCATCCCAGGAATAGCAGGTTGGGGAGAGGACATCGTGGTTGGCTCAGTGGCTGGTGTCCCCAGTCAATCTGGGTGGATCTCGGACTAGTGCCTTGGGTGATTCTAATGTCCCGGGGTTGCTCCCAGAGGAAACTGTCTTAGCTAGGGTTTTGGCTCAGAAGTGAGGAAGGGGAGCAGCTGGACAGAAGTTGGAACAACCCGGGTCTGGAGGCTCTGGGAGAGGTTTCCAACAGTAACAGCGAGGTCGCTTAGCTGTCCGCATGTGCGAACCCCCCTCCACTACCTGACAGCTCACTGGCCCCATCACCAGGCGGGATGTTGCTCATGTCGTGTGTGTCTGTTTTTAGAATGGCATCATCACCGGTGTGTACCCGGCAAGTCCCTCCAGTTGGCTCATCGTGGTTGTGGGCGTGATGTCAACGATGTATGCCAAGATCGACCCCTCTTTGGGAATAATTGCAAAAATCAGTCGGACCCTTGACTCAACGTAAGTCATCCTTTCAAATCTCAGAACGATCTCGGAAGTTACCGACTCTTGTTGCTGGCGTTTTTATGTCTTTTCAAACATGAGGACCGTTGCTGCCCTCACGTCCACTTTCTCCCCGTGTCCTGCACTGGTATTAAGGTTCCCTGGGGAGTTTGTGGTCCCTTGTGGCCCTTTCTCTGAAGACCAGGGGTATGAGGTGCAGCTTGGTCCCAGGTACCGCAGGCACGTGTCAGGGCCCGAGGCGGGGCCAGCGGTGACAGTCCACTCAGCCTGGCCAGCGGGGTCCTCAAAACAAACTTCTGCCCCGGGAGCTGGTTCTGGACAAGGTCTCTTCCCTGCACTGGAGTCCATCCTGGAGTTCTGGACCCTGAGAGCTGACTGCTGTGGGGGCTCTGGGGGGACCTTAGCCCCTTAGCTCCCTGTCAGAGTGGCTTTGAACTTTGGGGGGACCCTAACACTCTCCTCGAGCTGTAGATTTTTTTAGAATCTGGAAAGTAGGCTTTTTTCCTACCGTGAGATTCAGCCTGGAGAGGAGACTTTGGGTTGATATTTTTCTCGAAAGGTATGTGGTGCCTGGGGTCTTAGGCCAGGATATGCCTCTGGAGGGCATTTATGGGGCCCCTCTGATGTCCTTTCTTCCCTCCAGCCCTGGGGGTGGCCCTGGCTCCTGTGTGGGATCTCCTGCCAGTCGGACCCTGCGCTGCGGTGACCTCCAGAGATACAGGTTCTTGGCCAGAGTCACAGAGAGAGGAAGTGAGGGGGCTGGAACTCAGACCCATCTCCCCAAACCTCTGAAACCCAAGCTTCCTTCAACGCGCCCTGAGCCTCCCATCGGGGAACTTCCTGCCAGACAAATGCAAAAGAAACACCCCTGCCTGATGGGTGTTTGAGTGGTCAAATGAGGGGACACACACAGGGCTGTCTCCATTCCCCGGGTTGTGTGACTGTGGCCCTTGCTCTGGAGGACATGGTTTGATTTTCTGGGTAGAAAGGTCTAGTGCGCCCAGCCCGGCCATGGCTGCCCGGTGCTGGACCCCCGATCCTGTTCCGTGTGCTTGCTTCCATCGGTGAGCATTTCCGGTCTATTACTAGAGAGATGATAGTCCCCAAGTCCTCCTCTCATGATTGGGCTTTGTTTTTCGGGCCAGGGGCTTGGGGAGGAAGGTGGAGTCCGTGGGGCGGGATGCCCGTGTGGTCCCGAGGCCAGGGCCAGTGTCGGAGTTGGGCCTAAGCTAAACAGATGAATTTCTGAGCCTTTGAATAAAATCAGTTAGTTGTTTGGATTTAACTATTATTCTTTCAGAAAAGGAGAGGAAAATAAAGTGGCAAAGTGTGACAGAAAGGAAAACCCACAGCCTGGGGCTGAATTCCAGCCTGGTCATGCTAACGAAATGATTGAGCAGTCTTAACTTAAAGGTCTGACTCTTCTTCTGTTGCTCTGAGGGAATGCCCCATACTCCTAAGAGCTGTTCTGTATTCTCGAAGCCCCGGGACACAGGGAAGTCACAGGGAGTCCCTCTGAGTCACTCACGGCCTCGGGACGCTGGCTCATGCCTTCAGCAGTGTCTGCAAGGCCCAGGAAGCAGATCCCTGTCGCCGCAGTGAGTGCTGCCTGGACTGGACGCCTGCCAGACTCGTCGGTCTGCCTGGGCGCCAGGCAGCCAGGGCAGGGACCTTGTCGTGCTGGTCACTCCAGCCCGAGCCTCTCCCCGCCTTCCTTTATTTCCAGGGAGCTGCAGGCCTGCCCCACTGCAGACAGCTCACCTCCGCCCTGTGCTGTCCCTGCCTGCTTTTCAGACTGCCGTGGATTTAACACAGATATTTAACTGATTCTCCTAACACGATTATATTTAGACAAGTTGGCTATTTAAAGCTCTCTGTAATCTGAGTCTTTATGTGATTAGTTTCTTGGTCCCGCTAAACCAGTCGCGGTAAACTGGGCCATTCCTGGCTCAAATTTAGAAAGACCAGATTAAGGGCCAGAGTCTTCCAGGTTCAAGGGCTGTGCTGGGAAATCTTCCCGGAGAGGGTCTCCGACGTCCCGAGGTTGCGGCTTCCGCTGGCGCAGGTGTGCGCGGTGCTCTGCGCCGGCTGGTCCGCGCAGCCTGGGAGAACGCCCCCAGGAAAAAGCTTGCCTGCCGATGTTTGCTGCCCAAGTGCCTGTCTGTGTGTATATATGTAAGAAATGCTGGATGTGTCACTTGTTTGTTCATGTTAAAATACTGTTTGATTTTTGTGAATCAAGTATGTGTATCATTTCAAAATTCAGCGACATAGCACTTAGGAATGTAAAATACAGATTATCTGAAAGATACATTCTTAAATCCCTAGATCCAGGTTTGCCTGCAGATGAGACTATTAGAAAAGAAGGTATAGGTTTAAAGTGGAGACTACGGTTGAACTTGAACATAAGAATTGAGAGGTTATGGAAAGATACAATTTTTTAACATTTTTTTCTTTAAACTTTTTATTTTTAATGGAAGTACTGAGGATCGAACCCGGGACCTCCTGCATGCTAAGCACGCACTCTACCACTGAGCTATACCGCCTCCCTCCTCTAGAAGGATACAAGTTTTGAGGCAAACTTTTTTACCAGTATTTTACTTTTTATTTCTATCTTACTTCAGTAACAGGAGATGTTAGATTGGTGGTTTCCGAATATTGGCAATGCCTTTAGGTTATGTATGATGGATGTTTTAATCATTTGAAGGACACGTAAATCATTTTTTAGCTTTTTAAAATGATATATTTGGCATGTAACATTGTATTAGTTTTTAGGCATACAACATAATGATTTGATGTATGTATATATTGCAAAATGATGACCACAAGTTTAGTTAACGTCCATGACCACATGTAGCTTCAGATTGGTTTTTTTTCTTTGGTTTCACATGTAACTGAGATCATGTAGCATTTGTCTTCCTCTGTCTGACCTATTTCACTTGGCATAATCCCCTCAGAGTCCATCGGTGTTTTCACAGATGGCAGGACTTCCTTCTCCGTTTTTGGCTGAATAATACTCCGTTGTGTATCTACCGCCTCTTCTTTATCCATTCTTTTGTCCGTGGACACTTGGGTTGTTTCCATATCTTGGCTATTGTAAATAACGCTGAAGCAAACATGGGGCACCTGTATCTTCAAGACAGTGATTTCATCTCCTTCACAGAAATACCCAGAAGCGGAATTGTCAGATCGCATGGCAGTTCTGTTTTTAATTTTTCTGAAGGAACTCCATCCTCTTTTCCTCAGTGGTTGCATTAGTTTGCATTCCTACCAGGGTGCCTGAGTTCCCTTTCCTCCATATCCCACCAACATTTGTTATTTAAATGATTTTATCTCACAAATATTTTGTGGTTTCCAAAACAACTAAAACTACAACCCGCCAAGATGTACAAATCGCTGCATTTCTTCTCATTTTTAAAGTCCCATCTTTACCAGAAACTGTATCACTTTCCTTAGCAAATGAAAATCTCTTCTAAGTTTTCAATGTAAACGATCATTTTACACGATCAGTTTCTACATTTATTCATGATAAATATTCCTGCCTAGATCCAAAACAAGCTCTTTTGATATAAATCATTTAAGTAATAATTTTGCCAAAATGATCTGCATTTCTTGAGAGTAACAGGGAAATCCGAAGATGTGTTCAAGGGGAAAAATTCGTGGGTAGCAGGAAGGCAGGCACAGGGTTGCTGCCAGCTCCCGGCCCAGGAGAGTGCAGGTCAGTCCGGGGCGTGGTTCTCATCGTGGGCAGGCCCTGGCCTCACCCATCACCTTGTCGTCGTCCCCGGACCTGGAGGAGGTGGCATGTTTTCCCAATTACATGGATTAGCCTCAGTCTGTTTTGAGGCCAATGGGGCCGGTTCATTTGGAGGCAGGAGGAAAGTTGGTTGAGCCTTTGGAGAGCTGGTCAGTACAGGTTGTCCTCTCCCATCAGGCCTGAGTCTGATCAGGGCCTGTGGCCACCTCTGTGTCCCCGGAAGGCTGTTCCACCTTGTCGCGGGTGGCCCACTCTGGCCCGCGGCCCCACTTCCAGGCTGACGATCCTGTGGCTTGTCTGCTTTTGTTTGGCAGCGGCTCCATGTCCAGCCGGACAAAGAACGTGGTCAGCGGCGTCCTGTTTGGCACGGGCCTGTGGGTGGCCCTCATCTTCACCATGCGCTACTCCCTGAAGGTGCTGCTGTCCTACCACGGCTGGATGTTCCTCGAGCACGGCAAGATCAGCCGCGCCACCAAAATCTGGATGGTAATTTAGCCCCACTGCCGCGTGGGGCTGGGGTGCATTTTTTCTTAACCGCTTTCTTGGGGTATGCCTGACGTCCGAAAAGCCGGGGCTCTTTAGCAGTTTGATGTGTTTGGAGTTAAGTATATATCTGGGAAACCTTTATCACTACCAAGGCCACAGATTTATCCAACTGCCGCCCCCCCCTCCACCCCCAGTTTCCTCTGCCTCACCTCCTGCCTTTCTCCTTTGGCAATAAGAGCGTTCAATATAAGATTACCCTCTGAGCAAATTTTTTTTTTTTTGCGAGGCTGTGGGGAGGTAATTAGGTTTATTTTTTATTTATTAAGTGGAGGTACCGGGGATTGAAGCCAGGACCTCATGCATGCTGAGCAAACGCTAGCTCAGCCAATTTGTAGGAGTACAACACAGTATTGTTGGTCACAGGCCCGATGTCATGTGGGAGATCTCCAGAACAGACTGATTTCGTGTAACTGAAACTTTGTACCCTTTAACCGCCCCCAGCCCCTGGCAACCCCCGTTCTCCTCGCCGCTGCCGCAATTCCAGACTCGCGAGGTGCTGTAGGATGTGTCCTTCTGAGCCTGGCTCATCCCGTATCTGGTGTAGGAAGGGGGCTTTTCCTTCTGAAAGGAGTGTCCTCACGGGACTTTCACCCCTTGACGCTTGGGTGATGACTTGGGTGCCCACCTCTAATTGCCGGAGAGGTTTGATTGCTCAGCGTTCAATGTTTGTACCACTGAGCTATCCCCACCCCGACCCTGTAGCTCGTTCCCTGTACCTCGACGTTCTCTCTGAAACGTTGACGCATACATTTGGGCCAGAGACTGTTTGTCTTTAACGGTGTTAGTACTTCCTGAGCATCTTGTATCAGTGTCTGCTGGGTTTGTCTTCCAGGGCATCCTTGAAACAAAAGTGCCGTCCATCCACTTCCTTGTAGCTTTTCTAACAAGCGTGGCGGTCAGTGGTTTCCCAGCTGACCAGTGTGACCAGGGCTGCCTGATTCGCCCTTAGCTTCTGGTATGTTTGCCAGCTTACCTCGGCCCTCGGCCTGGCGGTCACTTACTTGCCGTGTGCGTGGATGTGTCCTGATCTCACCACATGCTGGTTCCATCTGTGGCTAAATGCCACCTCTGGGGGGCTTTTCGTGAGAAAAGAGTAGCCACCACAGCCTGGGCTGCACTCTTTCCCAGACCGACTTCTGCTATTGCTTGGATGTAAGGTTTCTGATCCAGAGAAGTCGAATTTAACACCCAGACAAGACGCTGAGGCAGTTTCCACACTTCACAAAGTAAGGTACACGGCATTTCCGAGGGTGGCCTTCGTGGCTCGTGTCCAGCTGAGTCCCAGAGCTCTCGGCACCAAGTCACCGCCCCCCATACATACACACTCTGTGAGCCCTAGAAATTCTTCGCGGTCTGGGCAGCATGGGATGCCCGGTTGTCACACCAAGTTTAGATCGTTCCAGACTTGAGCAGGGGCTGACTGCAGGCAAGTGTGTGCCGTCCACAGGCTTGACAGTGACCGAACGGGCCGCCCTGCTTCTCCCAGGCTTGGCTCCAAGTCCCCGTACGTCTCCCAGGCCCTGCTCACTGTTGCCAGAGCCTGGAGCTGACCCCGAAGCCAAGGGCCTCACCCAAGTAGGTGGGTGGAACTTTCCCTGTGTGCAGAAGCACAGTCAGACCTAGTGTCTGGGTGTCCTGGACTGGGCAGGACTTCCAAGGCATCGGTCAGACGTAGACTTTCGTTCCACCTGGTTTTATTCGGGATTACCAGTTTGTAAGCTGAGACCTGCGAGTGTGGGGACAGAAAATGGACTAGAGGAGAAATGAACCATCACAGAAAATCAGTCAACAGTCAGGAGGTTATATACACTCGATGACTAGTTTCAGATCTTTAACAGAGTCTCATCTTTGACAATGTACCTTTTTCTTCCTTTTTTCAGTGTATGGTCAAGATCTTTTCGGGCCGCAAACCCATGCTGTACAGCTTCCAGACGTCTCTGCCCCGCCTGCCGGTCCCAGCCGTGCAGGATACCGTGAACAGGGTAGGTGCAGCTTCCGGCCCCTGGAACGTTCCCTCTGAAACGCCAGCGTCTTTGGGATTGAGGTTTATTATGATTGATGAGTGTAAGTTAATTTACCATCACAGGCTGTGTTAGCTCTCAGCAGTAGACCTTGTAGGCTTGTGAAAAGCTATGAATCTTTTTTCCCCCTTAGTGAATCAGCCACATCTTAGGTGTTTTTTAAAAGGCATCATATGTGATGCAAAATCTGGTTGGCAGAATTGCTTGAGCAGTTTTATTGAGGTATAATTCACATATCATACAACTCACTGATTTAAAGCGTACAGCGGGTTTTGATATATTGTTTTAAATTATAGTAAATGTATATATAACATAAAATTAACAATTTTAGCCAATTTATTTTTTAAAAATTGGGGGAGAGGGGGTAATTAGGTTTTATTTATTTATTTATTTTTGATGGGGGCACTGGGGATTGTGCACGCTAAGCATGTGCTCTACCACTGAGCTATACCTGCCCCAACCCTGTCCCCATTTCAAACTGTAAAATTCTGTGGCATTAAGTACATTCTGTTAGTACCTCATTGCTTTTTATAACTAGCGTCCTACTATATGCATAATTTAAAATTCACTCATCTGTTGATGGGCATTTGAGTTGTTCCCACCTGTTGACTCTTGTGTGTGCTGCTGTGAACATTCACGTACAAGGTTGTGTTTGGGTTTCAGCTCTTCTGAGCTCAGATCTAGGGGTGGAAGAATTGAGGGGTCACGTGGAATTTCTGTGTCTCACTCCTTGAGAAACCGCCAGGCTGGTTCCTGCAGCAGCTGCACCATTTTACGTTCCCACCAGCAACATAGGAGTTTTTCCACGTCCTGTGGCCCCATTTTAAAAACTATAAGCAGGAAACATCTTCGCTGTTGAATCCAGGCTTAGTTATTTAGTCCTTTCTGGCCTTCACAAGCTCTTCTGTGCCCTGACCCGTTTGCCGGCGGGAGGTGGGGGTGAGCCCCTGGGCTGTCCTGGGGGGCGTCTCACTTGGCTGGCAGGCTCTGCCTTCTGCTCGCGTTTGGAGCTTGTTCAGAGCGTGATATTCTGTTTCATGAATGCACTTACTTTGAATAAACTTCACCGTGTTTAACAACTGGTCGTTTTGGGGGGAAAGCTGGGGCCCACCGCTGCCCCCAGGCCGCCCTCCAGCGCATTTGCTCGGGTACGTGTAGACGCTGTTGCGTGCCCTGCACTGCTGCCTGTGCGCTCCCCCCTGCGAGGGTCTGTTCAGCCGGAGCAGATCAAAGTGGGGGCCCCGAAAGCCTGATCTGGGGGCCTGGCCTCGGCCTGGTGGCGTGACCGCCCCCGTCCTCGTCATTGTCCTGTCTCCTCCTTCCTGTCCTGGTGTCCTGAGCACCGGCCTTTGGTTCCACCCTCCACTCTCAGGGCCTCCCCAGCCATCTCACTGGCACCTTCGCAGCTAAGGTGAGAATAGAGCTCTTCTAAAGGACCAAGTGATGGAGAAAAGACACACCATGATCTTGTCAGTCTGGAATCCCCTTTGGTGATTTCGCGCATGTGCAAGATCTGGGGAGCTTGGATGCCAGTACAGGACAAAAAAGTTGAATTGTTTTGTTACCACTGACCCGGAACACCCTTTCACGTTGGAGTTAGTGACCTTGCGTGCAGACTAGCCCTTTCCTAAGGCACAGGTGAGGAAACGCCTTATTTTAACTAGGCTTGTGCCTTGTTCGTTAACCCCAGTATCTGGAATCTGTGAGGCCTCTTATGAAGGAAGCAGACTTCCAGCGGATGACGGCTCTGGCCCAAGATTTTGCTGTCAACCTTGGACCCAGACTGCAGTGGTATTTGAAGTTGAAATCCTGGTGGGCTACAAATTATGTAAGTGTGCAGACGTGCCATTTTTCTTAGTGGAATTTTTTGTATGAATATCATCTGTTCCACGAACCAGCTGAGCTTCCTGGCTCCTGGTGAGTATGGGGTGGGGGGAGATGTTTGGTGGATGAAACGAGGGAGGGGAGCTGAGGTTCTGAGGAACAGCTAATGCAGAGGAGAAGGCATTAAAGGAGACTGGACAGAACCAGTGGGTGGGCAGCCACCGGAGTGTAGAGTGCTGGAGTGGGGCCAGGCACATCCCCGGTTGATTTGGTCCCATGCTGGTCACGTGGGTGTGTTGAATTTGTAAACATTTTCACACATACACCTAGATCCTTAGATGCACACTGTGCTGCGTGTATGTGTACTTTAACACAAAGGGACAAAACTGTGCTCCTTGGGTCCTGAAGGCTGGGGTGTGGTTAGGATGAGATTGCTGGCCCTGTGCGGTGGATTGGGAAGTCATGCTGGGGAGGGAGGACAACACTGTGGACCCTGCGTGGCTCTGGAAGGAAACTGAACCGGGTTGAGCCAGTGGCTGTCTCGGGGAGACTTGGGAATCAAGCAGGAGGAGCCATCTGCGGGGCAGTTTTGGGTGGTATTGATTGTGAAGAAATGCTGGCAAGCCACGTATGTATCACTTGTTTACCGTTTGGTCATTTTATTTTATTTTTTTAAAGCCATCTGTAAAATGAAGGTGATCTGCCTTCTGGCTGTCCAGACTTGAATACAGCCACTTCCCCTTTCCCGCTGCTCTGCATCCCATCCAGTGAGGGCTGTCTTGCCGCAAGTGCTGTGGGACTTGTGGGACAGAGCGTGCGCCCTCCCCCGCCCCCTTCCCACCCCACCCCAGCCCGGGGCCCAGGGCAGCCTGAGTCCCTCCTACTCAGCCTGTCGGCTGTTCTCTCCTATTTGCACCTGACAGGTGAGTGACTGGTGGGAGGAGTACATCTACCTCCGAGGCCGGGGCCCGCTGATGGTGAACAGCAACTACTACGCGATGGTGAGTCCCCAGGCCCACGCGGGTCTGCCGGAGCGCCCTGCGAGCTGCCGAGGGGTGCTCTGGGCTTCCGCTGTCCAAAGGCTTCACGCCCCAGCAGGGAGCCCACACCTGCTTTTGATACTGGAGATCCCCCTGGACGTGGTTTGTATTTGCAGAGTAGCTCACGGGCACCCACCGAGCACTGCAGAGAACTTGGCAGGAGTGCTCCCGTGGCCGGTGGGCTTCCTCCTTGTTTTCATAACTGAGCCCGGGTAATGATGAAGGCTCACATCCCTGCCCAGCACCCCTTGGCAGCCTCCCGGGAATGTGGGTCACCTGAGAGTTCATTTAGGACCTTTGTGCCCTGAGGTGCCAGCAGCCCCACCTTGAGTGTCATCTCACGTCTCTTGTCTTTCGAGACACAGGTGGTCTGGGAGAGCACATGCCATTATTCTGTTAGAAGCACCTCATTTGGGGTCTAATAACTGGCGTTAAGTGACTAAGGGGTCTTTCTTTCCCTTTCTTTCTGCTTTTTGCTTCCTTTTTTTTCTGTCGTCATGTCTATTTTGTTGTTTGCTTTTTCTGTTTGTCTCCTTTGGAATTTTTTCTTTTCTTTTCTGTTTCTAATGATCTCAAACTTAGAGAGAAATCATTGGCGTGGCCCAGAGAACTTTTTGAGAGCGAGCCAGCCACCTGGTGCCCTTTGGTTCCCGAAGACTTTGGTGTCTGTTTCCTACAGACAGAGGCACTTTCCCACATCATCGGGGCTGCCCTGCACGTAGGACCTCTCAGAGTATGGTTGAGATGAGTGTCCCTTGGACTCGAAAAACGTAGACTTTTAGAAATGTGTCGCCAAATTCCGGAAGTTGCGAGCACTGCTCTATATAAAAGGTTATTTTAACCTTTGGTTACTTCTCATTAAGAAAATTTCCTCATTATCTAATCGCTCCCTTTATTTCTGCTTTTCTTTTTGTGCGCTGTATGAGGCTATTTGGGATGAAGTACTGTTGTCTTTTTTTAAAACTTGAATTATATTTATTTACAATCTAACTTTTTAGAAGAATTCTTTTGTAACAACCATGTATGAGTCTTTGCAAAATAATAAAACTATTGAAAATTTTTTAAAAGAAGAATTTTTTTTTAAATGGAGATACTGTGGAGTTGAAATCCCGACCATGTGCATGTTAAGCACGTGCTCTACCACTGAGCTATATACCCTCCCCCTACAAGTTAATTTAAAAAGATACTGTTATCTTTCACAGCCCAAGAGTTACCTGGGGGCTTATATCCTTATAAAAAACGTGAACAAAAATAAAACTGACCAAGGGTGGAAAATGAGAACAGTTTATTTTCCAGCAGAGCAGGTGTCCTGAACACACCCATGGGCACGCTCTAATTGTGTGCTGACGGTAGCTTGTTCTTTCCTGTGAACATCTCCCTGCTGTCCTGTGTTTTCCCGCGTCAGGATCTGCTGTACGTCTTACCCACGCACATCCAGGCGGCGAGAGCGGGCAACGGTATCCACGCCATCCTGCTTTACAGACGCAAACTGGACCGGGAGGAAATCAAACCAGTAAGCAAACCAACTGCTTCTTAAAAATTTCTTTTAAAACAGCTTTATTGAGGGATAATGGATGCGCTGCACACGTTTGAGGTGTACAGTCTAAGTTCTTACATACCGATTTGTGTCTGTATTTGTGAAGCCATCACCACAATGGAGATCGTGGACCATCCCCAAAGTTCTCTTTTTTTATTTTTTAAAATTAAGAAAAATTTTTACGTTACTTTTTTTAATTGTTACTTTTTTAACGGAGGTAGTGGGGTTTGAACCCAGGACCTTGTGCATGCTAAGCACACACTCTACCCCTGAGCTATCCACTCCCCGCTCCAGGAATTCTCTTGTGTGACTTTGTGTCCCCTTCCACCCTCACCATTGCCCACCAGGGAGACCCTGATCTGTTCTGTCACTCCAGATTCATTTGCATTTTCCAGAGCTTGGAAATGGAATCTTAGCAGCATGCACTCTTTTTTTTTTTTGGTCTAGCCTCTTTCACTCACCATGACTATTTTGCTATTTATTTCTCCTTTGTATCCTAAATGGATATACATCTGATGTACCTTAGTTCCATAATTTGTTCTTCAAAGAAACACTCATTTGCTTATGAAGGAAATAACGTAGTTGTTGAACTACTCACAGGAAGGCATTTTTTAATTTTTAAAATTAAAAATTAACTTAAAAGAAGTTTTTTTTGCAGGGGAAGTGACTCGGCTTACTTATTTATTTTATTGATGGAGGCACTGGGGATTGAACCCAGGACCTTGTGCATGCTAAGCACGCACTCTACTGCTGAGCTATACCCTCTCCCCTCAAGGAAGTTTTTTCTTAACTACCCTTTTGGTTTAAGAGTCATTTATGACTTACTGGGGTGTGTTTTTTAAGGGTAAGATGCAGGACACTGTGCCCTGGTCTGGTTCAGCAAACCCCAGTGAAGCATAGTGTCCGCGGGAACCACGGTTCTTCATAGAGTTTGGAAACAATGCAGTCAAACGTGGCTGGGTGCACAGAAAACAAACCCAGCTTTGAAATGTGTGAATGTAATTCGCTCCTTAAATTTTCGTTTGAAACATATTTCTATTGCAGATTTTCCTTCTGGGGTCTACAATTCCGCTCTGCTCTGCCCAGTGGGAGCGGATGTTCAATACATCCCGGATCCCAGGAGAGGAAACAGGTGCGTGGATTCCTCAGGGCTCCTTCGGGAACTGGCATTTGTGATCCTCGCGCTCAGTGTGAGGAGATGCGGGCTGGCCTCCCCTGAGATTTCGGAGGTTTGAGGCTCGTGAGCCTTCCTCATGTTCCTTGCCTTCCTTAGGCCGGGATGGCTAACTTGCCTGCAGACCTCTGTTTCTCTTGGTTAAAGGCTGTTTGGCAGTTGAGTGTCTTTCTCCAGGTCGGGTTAGGAATGTTCCTGCGTCTTCATCTGGGTCCCTCAGGGGCGTTTAGCTCTGGTTTATTTGAACACATGCTGGATTGTACTCAGGGAAACCAGATTTGTGGTCCAGCAGCCTGACCTGGGACACCTGCCCCCTCGTCCCTGCACCCTAGTGTAGGGTGGCCACGTAATCGGTCCAGGTGTGGACACCCTCAGGAATGAGAGGGAGAGTCAACGGCTTCACCTGGGCCCATCCCAGGCCGGCCAGGGCTCAGGCTTAGGGAGGGTCCAGTCAGTTGCTCAAGGTGGCACGTCCCTGAGCGGCTCAGCGTGCGGGCCTGTCTGACTGCCGAGCTGTCGGCCCTGGTACCGGGCTGAGTCCCCTGAGGACTGTCGGGAAGTGGGGGCAGTGACTCGGGGAGGGGAATCGGTGCCGTCGAGAGGCTGGGGCTGGTTTTCTCGCCTCCTCTAACTTGGTGCCTCTGGATTCTGTGTCCACCCCGACCCGGCGCAGACACCATCCAGCACATGCGGGACAGCAAGCACATCGTCGTGTTCCACAGAGGGCGCTACTTCAAGGTCTGGCTCTACCACGACGGCAGGCTTTTGAAGCCCCGAGAAATTGAGCAGCAGATGCAGAGGATTTTGGACGACCCATCCGAGCCCCAGGCTGGGGAGGAGAAGCTGGCGGCCCTCACCGCGGGAGAGAGGTGTGCGCCCCTCCGTGACGTCCTTGTGTCTGGGGGTGCTGCCGGGGGCTCACGGTTCTCTCCTCACCGGGGTCCTGTTTGCCACCTGCAGTGGTGGCCGGGCTTTGTCCCTGGGGAGCAGGTCCCGCCGCCCCTCGGGTCTCCTTGGTGTCTCTGGGTGACAGGATCCCAGGCGCACAACGGAGGGAAGGAGGTAGGCTTTTTCACGGGGCTGCAGTGTATTTGATTGAGGAAACAGACAAGGTTTTTTTTTTATTGTTTTATTAAAAAAAATAGGGAAACTCTTAGGGGTGAGGGTATATCTCAGTGGTAGAGCATGTGCTTAGCATGCGTGAAGTCCTGAGTTCCATCTCAACACCTCCATTTAAAAAAATTAAATAAATAAAGAGGCCTAATTACCTCTCCCACTAGAAAAAGGAAAAAAATTAAAATAGTGAAACTCTTAAATCCATATGGAAATTTGCTGTAAGTCCATTGATTAAATCCTGCTCACACAGGGCATTTAGACGTGAACACAGTGTCTAGACCACGAAGCAGAGATGAAATGTACCCCACCCCAGCTTGCAGCGGCCCCACCTCATTTTATCCCGGGCATATAACTGCTCACGTCATCCAGACTCTAGCAGCAAATGAATGGGAAGGGGAAACAGACGTGATTACCCCAAGGCCTCTGTGTTGGGGTGACTTCCTGCCTCGTCTGAAGCTCCAGGACCTGGCCTGCACAGCCTGCGCTCTGATGCACTTGGGGCTGGACGAGTCTTTGTTTTGGGTGGGGGAGGGGCCCTGTGCACCGCAGGGTGATGAGCGGTGTCTCTGGCCGCTCCCACTGGAGTGTGACAAGGGAATCTGTCTTCAGTTTGGCCCAGGGTCTCTGGGGCCCTGGTTGAGGACCCCTGAGGTCAGCAGCATGGCTGCTGTCGTAAGTGAGGCGGTGAGTGAGCGGTCTGCAGAGAAGAGGAGAATGCCTGGGCCAGGGCACGCAGAGGGCGGCCGTGAGCCAGGTGGACCCGGGGGTGGCGGATGCCGGGGGGCAGTTGCTGGAAGCTGTGGAGTGGGCCAGGGCTGGACCCGACTGCCCGTGTGCCCGATGGCATTTCGACTTGATTCTGTGACACAGTGCTGTTAAAGGACCACTTAGGCTGGGGTGACCTGAGGAGTCTTACGAGCTTATTCTGGTCTGGGGCCTCCTGGAGGCAGGAGTCCTCCTTGCTTGAGGACTGGAAATGGGCAGGGTGAGCTGGAGGGGAGGCTCGGACCAGAGTATCTGGCCATCACTTGGGGGCATGGATGCAGCTGGAACAGAGGTGGAGAGTGTCCTGGGGACTGAGCCCCGGGTCCCGAGTGCTGATGGAGTGTCATCTGTCCCACTCAGCTCCCACATCTCACCTGCCTGAGTGCCGAGTGCACGCCAGCCGTCCTTGTCACCACTGTCCCCAGGAACCCAGGAAACGTCGGGCCGAGGGGGCCCGTTGTGTTGTTGGGCCTTCTGCCACCACAAGTGGTGTCGGCCGAGCCCTTGCAGGGAGAAGAGGGCGGGAGACAGGCCAGATGACCCTGATCTGGAGGGTGGGCAGCAGTCCGAGCGTGGGGCCCAGGAGCAATCTGGGGAAGCCACTCGGGGGCGACTCTCAAGAAGTGGGTGTCACGTCAGCCCCGCATGTCCCATGTGGGGCAGGACAGAAAAGAATCCCTTGAATTTGGCTCCCGAGGGTGCCCCTCATGGCGAGGATGTCATGTAGTCATTTGTAGTGTGGGCGTGTGGACTCGGGGTCGGCTGTCCTGGGTTTGGATCCCTCCCTGCCG